TTCTTCGTTCTCCTTAAAGCTTCGGTAAGTTGCTTTTCGATTAATTCCATCTTGTTTTTCTCGTTCGGTTTGAAAGTATATGTGACATTTTATCAATGTAATCTTTACGATCCATAATAACAACACCTGCACCTTTGTCAGGATGTGTTAATAGCACATCTTTGTTATGCGCCAACAGTTTAAGTTCTTCTTTGTGCTGTTTAGTCAGAAGACTTTGCATTTTTGATTTAGCATTAAGGTATTGATTGCAAGAATCAGTGATGGTAGATTTGAAGCACTGAAAATCCTGGTCAGACGATGGTGTGAGATCATAAGTTTGACTGAGTAGATTCTCAAACTGGACATGTGTATGCAGCTTGTTGACATTGAGATTAACATCGCAAAACTTCGAACTCAAAGACGAAGCTTCCATTTGCAATTTTGATAGGGATATAGAGGAGTGACTGAACCCACATCTCTTGAATTCTCAGGATATTCCGAAGATATTTGATAGATTTGAAGACATTTTAATGTATTGGAAAATATCCTGAGAATTCAGAGAGATGGTGGTTCAGTCACTCCTCTATATCCCTATCAAAATTGCAAATGGAAGCTTCGTCTTTGAGTTCGAAGTTTTGCGATGTTAATCTCAATGTCAACAAGCTGCATACACATGTCCAGTTTGAGAATCTACTCAGTCAAACTTATGATCTCACACCATCGTCTGACCAGGATTTTCAGTGCTTCAAATCTACCATCACTGATTCTTGCAATCAATACCTTAATGCTAAATCAAAAATGCAAAGTCTTCTGACTAAACAGCACAAAGAAGAACTTAAACTGTTGGCGCATAACAAAGATGTGCTATTAACACACCCTGACAAAGGTGCAGGTGTTGTTATTATGGATCGTAAAGATTACATTGATAAAATGTCACATATACTTTCAAACCGAACGAGAAAAACAAGACGGAATTAATCGAAAAGCAACTTACCGAAGCTTTAAGGAGAACGAAGAACAATCATCTCACTCGTGAAGAACCGTACGAAAAGATTAGACCAACAGGATCTCTAATACCAAGACTTTATGGTCCACCGAAGATAGACAAAGCTGGCATCCCACTCCGCCCTATCTTGGATATGTCCGGATCTCCTTATCATCCAGTAGCTGGGTGGTTACCTGAAATCCTCGAACCCGTCAGGGGACAACTATCTATTCATTCCCTTCGTGACACCTTCCAATTTGTTAAACGTATACAGGATACAAATGCTTCGAATAAACATATGTTGTCTTTGGATGTAGAATCCCTGTTTACGAACGTTTCACTGGCAGAAACCATATGTTTTATATGCAAATGTATTGAAGACAACAAGTTGAATATAGGGATACCCACTACAGATTTGAAAGAACTACTTTTGAGATGTACATTGAATGCACGGCTTACTTTCAATGAAACAATCTACATACAGAAGGATGGCATTGCAATGGGTTCTCCCTTGGATCCTCTCCTTGCAGACTGTTTTATGGCCAGTCTAGAAAATGGTCAGTTGAAGTCAACAATCCTAAGTTTTCAAATGTATAAAAGGTATGTAGATGACACCTTTATTATTTGTAACAGTGATTGTAATTTGAATAATATATTAAATGCATTTAATGGTTGCCATCCAGCGATAAAATTCACACTCGAAATGGAGAACGAGTCTAGTATTCATTTCCTCGATGTGAACTTATCAAGGAGGACCGATGGAACTCTGAAGAGATCGATTTATCGAAAGCTGTCATGGAATGGTAAACTGACAAATTTCTACAGCTGGGTACCCATTGGTCGAAAACGAAATCTGGTCCAGTCACTCGCCACACGCATTCGGCGCATATGTAGCCCTGATACTGTGGAGGATGAGTTAATTCTTTTGAGGAAAATCCTAATAGAAAATGGATTTCCACCACGTTTTATAGACAAGAATATACATTCAAATCCTATGAAACGTGACTTATCATCCGCACCCAAGAAAATACTGTACATGAGCTTGGAATTCAAAGGTGACTTAGCTTCCGATATCATGAAAAGAAGGATATCACAGTCCCTGAAAAGAACATTCCCTGCTGCATCTTTGAGAATAGCCTTTACCAGTCGACCATTACTGTTCAATAACCTGAAGGACAAGATCCCGCTGTTGACCAACTCTATGTGCGTTTATCAATTCACCTGCTCGTGTGGAGCTAGGTATATCGGTCGTTCGACTCGAGTTTTGTCCAAGAGGGTGCAAGAACACTATCCTGCATGGTTACGAAGAGGTGGAAGTGGAGCAATAAGAAGCGCGATCATTGAACATCTGGTCGATAATGATCACCCTATCTCTATAGCCTCCGCCTTTAAAGTCATCTACAAGGCAAAAAGTAATTTACCGAAATCACTATGTACCCGACTCATCTGTATTGCTGAAGCTTTGGCTACCGAAACAGAAAAGCCAGATCTCTGTGTACAGAAAAAGTTCGTTCAACCCCTCCAACTTTCATGGTCTTAATCCCTCTATGCTAAAGTATGGTAATCCCTAATCATATTTTGGCTCTACCAATTTTTTCCATTTTGTCTATTCAATTTGTATACTCTTCCTTTATTACGTCAATTGTTATTATTACTATTCTCACTTTGAACTGTCCCCGGTATTATCTCACTTGTTCCACTCGTCATTCTAAATCAATTCTCTTTTGCAACGTCAAATTCTATGTTATCAGATTTCACACAATATTACGTAGCGTTTTTATTTTATTCGATTTGCCTACTAATCCTATAGCTGCACATCCCTTCCAAGTTCTTTACATCCTATGAATTATTCTATAAATGACATTAATTGTCTTTCAAGAGTTTGGTTTGTAAGGATTGGATTTGTTTATACGAGTTTGACCACACACGGATTGATATCAGTTGGAGAACCATTGAAAACCAGGGAGTACTGGACAGATGTTTTATCCTAGTTGGGGAATCATCGTCAGTACGCGCCCACTGGGGGTTCGAACCCAGGACCTTCCGGTTACAAGGTTAGTGAGCTCGTATACCATTCAGCCACTGGGTATTTGCCACTTGACATTTAACTATGATTATAATCACAAATATTTTAGTTGCATTTCATACTACTATTATTATTTTATGCATTCACACCTATGATTCAATTCCCTCACCGGATATAACTTCTTAAAAACCATATATTATCGATTGCACAGCTTGATAATAAATTCGTTGTTGAAAAGAGTCTCTTCGCTGAATCACTCCTTTTTGTTTGCTATATGTTACTATTGGAATTTCCCATGAATTAAAAATAGCAACGATCTCTCAACACTCAGTCAGTGCTTCAAGGTTACGGTTGACGAGACTACTCTAAAGTCGAGAAGGAAAATTGTAGTGGGTTATTCTTCATTTTGAATTCCTTTAAAATCAGTCTGAGTGCCTAATCACTGCTTTCAAAGTAATCAGTTGACAGAATTAGTGGGTGTAGATTGATTGAGAATAGCTTGTGGGCTTTCTTTGTATACGTGAAGTCAATTGGTGGATGGGGACTAACAATGGAATCTAGGATGCTCATTTTGTCTTATTGTTGGGAGTGGTCACTGGATGTACTTGCATTTCCCAGTGAGTGATCATGTTCCCACCGAGGCTCGAACTCAGTGCTCATAGTTTCGAACGCCAAAGCGTTATCCACTAGACCAATCAATCGACGGGAAAATCTAAATTGAATTAAATTATTTCCCATAGATATTCACGCATTCGTTTAGGCCGATTTCTTGAGACTAGTATCATTTATCTGGCTGAAACATGAAAGATGAATAGCTATCACACAAATGTCGTTCATGATCAGTTTACTCTGAAGTTATATTCGTACACCGCTGATTTTTACAGCCTGTTTATTCTATACTTAACGGTATCTAAACTATCATGAAAATGTCATGGTCATCGCACCGGTGTAGGTTTGGTTGGACAGTTGTAAGTAGTACAGAAAGGTGGATATTTTTCTCACTCTCTGTTTTGATTTACACTTATGAAATTTGAAAAGGTGAATAGAATTCAGCATATGTACCGGATGGTTTCTGCCACTAAGCACAATTACAAACATTTTGTCATTTTTAGAACAACGTGTTCTAGAACAGTGGAGGTAATATGAGATGAAGGTAAACATATACATATATATATATATATATATATATATATATATATAGTATGTATATATACAGCTATTTCCATTCAATCCAAGTAGATACTATATAGAATCAGCACAAAGTTTAAACTTGTGCTGAGTGCTAAAGCTGTAAGTTTATGCTGAACATTTTATCACATGATGTTGGTAATCTGAGATTGAATGAGTTGTGTCTAGTCTGAAAGTGTAAAGTTCTCTCATAAAGAAAACGAAAATTTAAACACTGAACAACAGCTTTCTGTTGTGTTTTTTTCTTTCCTTCAAACTGAGACAAGAGTAGTTATATCGGTACTTTAGTTTACTTTTTGTTGATTTTGTAAAATATCACCAACAAAATTCTTTCTCTTGTTAAATGTCTTCTAGTTAAAATTTATTCTCTGTGTATACGTCACAGCACCAACAGGTGCAGTCAACAAGCGCCTAGCAATAATCAGAACACATTTGAGGATGTTGGTATAGTATTCTATATTTAGTACGCCTACTTCTCCATCGGGTGTTGCAAAGTGACTCCTAAAACTACAGCCACTGTGAATGCCCTCCACAGATAAATGGAATTAGTCAGAGTACTTCATTACCACTTTCTGTTCTCTTCGCTGAATCAGTCGTTTTGATTTTTTATACGAATGTTGAAAATCTAGTGTATTTGGGAACTAAAAAAATGTTGAGAAGGTTTCCACAGAATCTTAGTGAACCACAATAAATCTATTGAGATATTAGTCAGTGGAATGACCTAAGGTTCGGTTACGTGCATGTGGAATTTGTTGTACGTATTCAAATGATTCAGATCCACGATGTAAAGGAATTACCACAAATCATTATTATTGTACCTACCCTTTGTTCAGCATCACTGGATCGTCGTCTTCCATTCGTATACTCCATTGAGCTTTCTAATTCTTTGAGTTCTTTCTGAGCTGCTTTTACTTCTTCACGTAGAGTGTTTGTCATTGCTTTTTCCTCTTCATACAATTGTTTATAATTGAGCGTTTTACTAGCAGCACTACTCAAATCCTATCAAAGTAATATAATCAAATGTGTAAAGAAAAATTAATTGTTAAAATTATATTTGATTTCACTTTTATACCTAGACTAATTAATTATCTCATACAAATATAGGCAGTATTTGAAGATTATTGCATAAATCTCATTTTCTTTCCAAGTACACATTACCAAGCATTTTGACCGTTAACAAAGTGCCTTTCGTAAACTTTCACAGGAATGCTTGATTCATATGACAGCATATGGATAGCGTAGTGTTTTACCAGTGTCCAAGTCATGATGCAATCTGACACCGCTTCATTCAGATTTCAGAGATCAGAATATACCATCACCACATAAAGACTGTTACATAGGCTGGTAGTAAAGCAGAGAAATAAATGACCAGTGCTGAAGTATTCTAGTCTCGAATGATGGTTGTCAGATGTCATTTTGAAGTATATACAGTCAGATTTAAATCACTACCTTGACGAACTCATACGACTATATTCTAGCTGAACAAGACCTGTGTCTTGTAAACTAAACAGTTTTTGGTGCTACTTCTGTACAAAGTAACCGTGAAGGCTTCTAAATTTAATAATCCACCACAAAGAACACAACAACATCAAAAGCATCCATTTGAGTTACAATTCCTCTCCACTATTGCCAAATTAAATTGTTGAATGGTGCATAAATTGAGAGAATAAATTTGTATCTCTTAACTTCTGAGGTTGGGTCTTGTAGTTCATCGAACACCACATGAATGCCCATACACACACACACACTTACGAACACAATAACAAACGAAATTCATGTTGGATTCAACGAGGAACATGCAAAGATAACTGTTTCTTACCTCTGTAATAATATGCAATGGATAGAAGTCTATGTTAACACCTCCATAGAAACAGACACACCAGTTATTCTTTTGAAAAATATTTACTAGACAGAATACTTAACAAAATAGGAGAACATCATCTACCACAGGATACATCTCAACTGCAGCATAGTCTGGATTCCTCCAGACAAATGATAGAAAACACTAATACCCTTACAGACAACTAGCGGCGATTATGATTCCTAGCCATAAAAGTGTAGAATCATCTTTGTTCGCCTGTTACGCAATGTCTGCCGTTCACTTGGACTTCCAAGTACTTTAATTGAATTCTCTGAGCTAAATAAGTCTGAGAAACAGCTGTAAGTGACACAATAAATCATGTCGTCAGGGCAGAAGTTTTAAATATGAATCATAGTCTGTTTTTACCTACCTGGGAAGCATCGTTTCAACTACAGGCGGAACTGACGAGAATATCAAAGCAAGAATCGGGAAGGCAAGACAAGCTTTCACTACTCTCAAGTCTGTGTGGAGGTCAACAGCACTCAGCATCAAAAATAAGATCCGGATTTTCAACGCCAGTGTGAAATCAGTGCTACTATACGAATCAGAGACTTGGCCAGCGCGTCATGAAGAGCATCTCAAACAAACTACAGACCTTCATCAACAGCTGTCTTCGCTCAATACTCAAGATCAGATGACCAGAAAATGTCAGCAACAGAGATATCTGGCAATGAGCGAACCAACCAGGAACCGATTGTGCAACAAATAGGCAGGAAGAAATGGAGATGGATTGGCCATACTCTGAGGAAACCATCAAGTGACATCACTAGACAAGCCATTGCTCCAGTGGAACCCGAAAGGGAAGCGGCGAGTTGGTCGTCCAAGGGTGAGGGTGACTTGGAGGAGGTCATGTGAAGAGGAGATGAAAACGTTTGGGCAGACTTGGGGCCAGGTGAAGACTCTAGCAGAGAACCGAACGCAATGGAGACGCATGGCTGAAGCTCTATGTTCCTCTAGGAATTAAAGGAAACAATAATAAATAATAATATAATGATATAGTCTGGTTTTAGAAGAATGTATACTGTTGTATTCTAACATTATATTCAACTAATTGACTACTCTGTAGATATGATTGTCTCTACTTCACTTTATTTCATTTATTACCACTAATATATTTTCACAGATAATCGACCTTTGCATATACTTTTGTTACATGACTGCTATTTTCAATAATCAATTTATCCTCTTCAACTGAATGCACAAAAGGTAATGATCTAAGCCATATGAGAACAGCTGTCTTTTTCGCAAACTACTCATGGAAAAATAAATTCAATGGTCGGAAGTTGACTATTCAGATTTCAATTCCTACTATAAATGCTCCACTTATCCATTAACGGAACGATGTATTGACTAGACTATGTTAGGTAATCCTACTATAGCAAAATGATCTCTAGTTTACATATTGCTGTGATCAGAACTAGGCTACAGTTTACTCTCTGTTTTCATATTAAGGCATCAACTTTCTGTCTGCACTAGACCATTAGAGCATAATACTGCATGTGAATCGAAATAAAACTCAGTTAACCAAATATTCTGTAGAATCGCTCAATGCTTATCTCTACTATTTGATGAAAATATGTGAGGTGTAATTCATGATGACGAAAAAACAGACACATAATGAGACCAGAATGAGTTGGTGCAATTTTAAATTCGGAGTTACACCCTACATGTGCATGATTGCCAAGGTTGGATAAAACAAAGCATTATTGGAAAGAGAACTTTCTGACAAATAGAACAACATCATAAACCAACTGTGTAAATCACCACATAATTACAGGCAATCGACGGCGAACCCTTGACCTCAGTTTTGGTGCTTATTGGTACTTGTCAGCAAGACGTATCTGAATTGGATTTCCTTTTATCCTAACTTACCTAACATCCATGGTACACAACTGCTGGGGATAGAATACATCTAAATGCTACACATCCTTAGTCATTCCTTTCAAACACTTCTTACTTACAGAACTGCTAATTTGATAAAGCTGAGAGTAAGCATCGAATGTTACGATAAAGTGCTGAAATAGCACAGCCTGAATCGGCTGACACCATTGTGACTTGCGGTTTCCGCTAGTGTAGGAATAAATTTCATAAGAATAAGCGTGAATAAGTAAGGAAAAGTATCTGTGTGTATCTTTTTAACACTGTTTGTCTGTTTCAAGTAGGGAAGCGTTTATCATCCGCCTATGCTACGTGAAATGACTTAAAATTTACCATAATGGCACAGATGTACATTATTTCTCATTTCCATGTTTATGCTTTAAATGGAAGTCAAAGGTAAAGCTTTTCACTAGATTTCAGAGATACCTGGCTCAGTATGATAAATACCTGCGCTGAAGATGTTGTCTAGAAGGACGACGAGAGCATCGCAATTAAATCAACCAGCTCAGAGAACACAACTTATTCAAAGTGAGTTAATTGGTCTGTTGATTTTTACCAACCATCCTTCACACTCGAATTGATACCCTGGCTAAAAATAATTCGATATTTCAAATTATAGTTCCCTTGTAAAAGTATGGGAATCGTGGCATTTGAATAAACCATAGAATGGTGTGAAAGGATTTCACAATGATATTTACGCTCATTTTTCGTAATTGTAAGCCGTATTCCTCATGAGAATATGTACAGTAATATATGAACGCGTTCTTCCTTTGAAAAAAATATTTTATAGCATACACTCTAGTTATTGCATAAGTATTACACTAATGACTGGCTTCTTCTGTTGGTTAAGATGGCTAGTATCATTCTACTATTTTATTCTTGGAATGATCAATGTGAAACGCCTGTTTCAGTAACCAAGTCACTAAGGTGAATGACGTGATATGATACACTAGTGTGTCCCCGATTTTCTATATGTGCAAACGTTCAGAATATAAAGTAGTTTCTGAGAAAAATGACAGTTAAATACCAAGCTTATTGTAGGTATAGAAAGTCACTGACGAATTTCACGATACAAATTAGTCTTTTATGTGAACTGAAATTCTACACATATACATTTCCGATTTGATATTCACGGTGATTTGATTTGTATTTATATTGTCAATGGACTACGATGACTTAGTCTGCCATCTGACGACACAGTGTCAATAACGCAGTCCTACGAGCAGTCGGTCACGCGTTAAATAGCTTCGTCGTAGAATTTATGGTCCTATAACCACGTAACTTTCTAGACATGAAATATCCAAAGAATGTTGACAAATGCTAAATCTTGACGGTAGGTTTCATAGTCACTGCTTAATAATTATTAAATAAATTTGATGTTTCCCGACTGAAAGAAAGCCGAATAGAAATGCAGTACTTTTTGACACCAGAAAAGAATTTTGAAATTTTACCACTTGAGGTGAGAGTAAAAATAATAGTTCAGGTAAGAAGTCGTTATCTGTCACACGAACTAAGTTCCTTTAGGCTGAGAGAAATGTCGTCTCTGCCCATTTGCACCGAAGTACAGAAGAGTGGGCACAAAGAATAGCGTTGAATGAGAACTAGACGAATTTGAGAACAAATTATATTAGAATAAATTCTTCTTAATTTCTATCGTCAGTAATCTGAAAGTTTTAAGATATATCCACGTGAAGTAATACTGAACTCTTAAGAAATCGCCTTTTCATCAAGTGCTGATGTCGGTTAAAAAACCATTGGAAAACCAGCGCGGAGTACTGGACAACAGTTTCATCCTAGTTTGAAACTCTTCATCAGAAGACATTCAGCGAAGAGACTCTTTTCGGCGAATTCATTCACATAGCTGTACAATCGCATTTATATATAATTATTTGTGTGTGTGTGTGTGTACATGAGGTTTGTCAAGTTTAGATAATTGATTAGTTAATACAAGAATGATGTAGTATAGAGACAAAGTTAATCAGACAGCAACTAAAGTAAGATTGAGTTAGTAAGCTAGATGACGTAATATAGTTGACTAAAATGTTACAACTTAGGTCAGGATAGCAACAGAGGTAATTACAGGTAGAGACTAAGTAGAAGTGAAATTGAGTAAATAAGTTGGATGACGTAATATAAATGACTAGAAACTGAGCGTTGTTCAAGTCAGTAACAGTGGTAGTGAGGTGTAGAAATTGAATCGGGTGGGGGTAGAGAACAAGAAAGTTGAAAATGTAAAATATTACAATTGAGAAGACAAAATAATACTAATGAAGAGACAGAAGAAAAGATTAGGTAGAATTTACTTGTCGGCTAATAAGATAGATTACGTCCATTGCAAGTGTAGTGATTGAACGAACTTCTTCTGTATGCAGAGTTCAGGACTTAGCAAGTGAATCGCCATTGCTTCTGCAGTTTGAAGAAGTCTGATTCGTACACCTTTAGGGAGACTACTTCTTACTCTGTAGACGACTTTGAAGTTTGTTTGCGGTGTAGCTTGGTGTCCGGATTCTATCAGATGTTCTAAGATGGAACTGCGGGGGCATCGATTTTCTCCTTTGTTAAACCATGTTGGTAAGTGCTCGGTGATACGTTTGGAAAGCGAGCGCTGGGTACGCTGGAGCCAGGTATGTCGGCGATTGTACAGCTATGTGAATGAATTCGCCGAAAAGAGTCTCTTCGCTGAATGTCTTCTCTTTTTCATAAGATAACTTTCTATGAATTTTAATTCTGACTGACTTCTTATAATAACTGAACAGTTGTTTATTTGGTGAGAAAACTTATAAGTATCACCAACAGATAGTGCATTGTATGCAAGTGAGTAGTTGTATTTCTTACGCAATATGTTCCAAGAACGAATGAAAAGCGATCATTTCACTTGAGTTATTTAGAATTATGTGACTGTTCACTTCCAACATAAACCCATACCACTTGGCATGCTGTCGCGTTACATTCAAGTGTTCGTGCTCGATCTGTAGTTTGCTAAGCAAATATCACTGTTTAACAGCACTGATCCTTAGATATATTCCCATATTTCCAACGATTTAGTTGTTGTCCGAATTCGGCTTACTAACTGTTCATTAGTTCATTAGTCAAATAAATAAATCTGAGTTGGAGGTTATTATCAAATTAGCTCATCAATACAAACTCCCCCCCCCCGTATCCGCCCAAAAAAGAGTAGATTTTATTGCCACTGCTGATGAATGACCACCGAAATTACAGTTCTTCCAGTAAATGGAGTTATTGTCATGTATTAAATTTTAAGGAATTAAAACTCTTTGAACGATTAACAGTTGACTATGACCTCCGTAACTTAGACAAAACCCTCCTGGAATAGTGTCTCTACTGTGTGATATGTCTACAGAATAAAAACCATGCTGAATTAAAATTTTGAGTAAAAAAAAAGACTGCTTGATGAAAATATGCTTTAAAACGAATTACTTACTGAATTCCATGATGAACTTGTGCCTATTCCACCAGTTGTATATCCAGTACTGGTGCCAATTTTGTTTGGTGATCTGCGTGGATACTGTGGAAGTCCTGAGTAGGAGGCGGCAGATGTACTACTTCCAGCAGTACTGCTAGAACCAGTCCCGCCAGTGCTACTACCACTGCCAACTCCACTGTTACTAGAAATACCTTGTGAACGACTTAAATACCATGATGGTTTCGATGTATCCGTCTAAATGGTAAAGATGTGAAAAAAAAACAGAAGTAAATTAAAACACTAACATTCACTCATTCAATCTATCTATCTTTTGTTACAAAATCCTAATGGTTTAGCAAAACATGTAACTGAATGCTAGATAAATAAACAGATGCAGTGTAATAAGTCGGTGAACTTACTACGGAATAATTCAGAAAGCTTTTTCTTTGAAGAAAAATTCTCCCAAAGCTGTATCTATCCAGCGTATTCACAATTCAGTTTGTTAGAATAAACTAGCCCACTGGAAACTATTATATTACTGTTAATAATTCATTCCGTTCCGAGTGGAAAATAGGGCTCCAGCCCCACAGTGCCACTGCATTCTGTTCTCCACGATCGTTTTCGTCTGGTTCCATGGCTGACCAAAAGCCTACATTTCTACTACACATCATCGCCTCCATGCCCTCGTTGGATGCCCAACCCCTCTCTTTGCATTGAGGTTCTACCTGATGACTTGGAATGTGATGTCACTCAACAGTCTGCTCAGCATATGTCCAATCCATCTCCGATTCCTTCAGTATATTTGCGGGGTACTAGGTTCTTGACTGGTCCACAGAAGTACTACCAGAGTTCCTTGCTGTTTATCCTTTCCGGCCGGCTATCTGACCTTTAGTACCCAGCGGAGACAGCTGTTGATGATGGTATACAGCGGGCAGTTGGTAATGATTTTGGATGTGATGCACACGTTTTCGCTTGTGGAGTCTGTAACAATACGATTGTACATCCTTTTGTTAGATGTTGGAATTAGAAACATTGTACACGACTTTTGTTTAAAACGATTCATGTTGGAATATAGATAACTTCCGAGTACAATCTTAAATACAGTGTGCTGTTGGTCGCTTCGTCTTTTCTCTCGTCTTCTCATTTTTCAGGAACCTCTTATCGTCATCCGAAGACTATTCTACAACCGGTGCACAGCTTCTACAGCAATAACTTGATTTTAGTGCTGAAAATTCAGATCTTGTTCGTTGTTCTATGCTATGATATAGATCTCCATACCCATTTTAGAGTGATGAATCCCTATCTTACTTTCCTATCCGACTGGACTTGACATACCTACATGTGCCGGCTGTAGTTAAAATGATGCGGTGCAGTGAAGAGAAAGAGACAACTAACTTAAAGTTTCTCCCATTCATAGTGACTGGTGCTTGTTCTGGTTGGTTAGGTATTTTTATCATCTCTTTCTTCCCTAAGTTCGCCTGAAATTCTGTCTTCGCGTACTTGTCGCTCAACTTGACGGTTTTCTTTTATAAATCTTCAAATTTGTGCAACATCACGCATAAATCACTTGCGAAACCCAGATATTTTATCGGACAAACGTATGCCTGCCTTCCCACTCCCCACAGTCTGCTGCACGATTTAGTCAAATACAATTAGAAAGGTCATCAGTTGCAGTAGTTACACGACCTTATTGTATCTGCATCTCCACTTCAATGGCCTAACTAAGCTTTCCGTTGTGCATTATTTAGCGCTAGCACTGTTTTACAGCTTTTGAATGAAATTGATACGTGTCTGTAGACAGAACTCCGTAGTGTTGAAGTAGTTTTCAAATTATTTCGTGGGTGGGTCAAAAGCATTCTTAAAGTCGACGAGGATGAGTCTCTGTTTGATGATGATGAGTAGTGGTGGGATTTAATCCACGCATAACGTGCTAATCCTGAATCCATCCTGTCTCGGGCGGAGTCTTCCATCCAGTGCATCTTTTCGTTTCTTCATGATGATGCAGCTTAATATTCAGCTTGGGTGGACAAAATTAGGATCTCGCACCAGTTCTCGTGAAGGCTTAAGTTGTTCTTCTTCAGCAGTTTGACAAAGAGGTTTCCTCTTCAATCGTAGAGTACGTTTCCTTCTTTCCACACCTTCTGTCTTTACGCCCGTTTCCATTATGCTTGGTGGGTTCCAGCCGGAACCAAAAATGTGTAACAGTAAAGGTTGACGTTTAATCTTATGTGTTGATCGTTTGTTCACCCAGGTTTTGTTTATGGCAAGCAGGTAGATCTGAAATCTTATTCAGTGGGACGCTGTAGTAATCCAGAAGCTGTTGGTTTATTTCCTATCCTTATCCATGCGTTAATTTTATCTTCAAATATCAACCATTAAAGTACTATTAGCCAGCCAGCCAGCCTAAGGTTATCTCGAATAGTGCTGCCAACGGTTCCTACACAAAGTTGAATTCACTAACTTTAATGATATAATCTTTGATGGAGTTAAGTTTCCTAACCGAAATTATAGACCAGTGTTTCAAACCTACTTAAAACTTTGACACATGGTCATTGTAATGGTCCCCACATGACCAGCCTTTTCAAGTTATAAATTTGAAAAAAAAATAGGTTTTCGGTTAAAATGAAGGAAAAAGATTTTAAGTGTAAGTTAACTATTGTAGATGTGATTCTCATTAACTGATGGTGAAAAAGACTTATTGCAGAAGTTGTTCTTGGCAGAAACAGAATTTATAACTATTTTCAAGTTTGATATAAAAGCCACTCGATACACAGCTATTTATTAATCAAGGATCACCGAATGTTGGTAAACAGAGTATGATCTCACAGTGTAGAGATCATGCTGTGCCTCTTGTTGCACAACAACAAAACAGTCAATAATTTCTAGTGAATTAAATATAAACTTGACAAATATCATATAATGGACTAGTGCCGACCACTCTCTCTCTCTCAATGACTTCAAAAGCGACAATCTCAACACACTGAATTCCAAGAATATAAACACTGAAATCCTGGCTTAAAAACCAAATAATTTTTGTAACAACACTTTTGAGTTTGAGTCACATAAACTGCTGTGACATACGAAATAAAGTTAAGTACAGAGGTACACAGGAGTTAGTAAGCTTTTCCTTAGAAGTTATACTTTAAACAATTCAAATGTTAAGCAAACATCTAGATTTTAAGTAGTCATGACCCGTATCAAGGAGACGCCTAGTAATTGCACTATTGTAAACGTCTGTTCCCTTCAGACGTAGGCTTTTCGGTACATATTCAGAAAATCTGAGGTGTGCCCTTCTTTCTGTTCTCCCAGTGAAACTGCTCCCGCAGATACACGTAAATTTGTATACACAGTTGCAGTTAACATGAGAAAGGTGTCTGTTGACTTTTGATTGCACCGAAAAGCACGTTGTCCAATAGACGGGAACCAACTAACCTTATAGGTTCTGGCTAGTGACGCAGTCAATCTTCTGTTGAGTACTGTTACAATATTTTCACTTTTAAAGTCGAGTTTAATGAAGACAGGCTTTTTCCCCACTGTGATTTGTTTGACATTTGAGCGTTCTCATCTTCCATACTTGTTAATGAACCTCTTAGGGGGTAATCGTTGTTTTTCAACATCTTTTTGAGAATCATAAATTCTTCCTGTAATTTCTCTGCAGGGCATATTCTCCTAGCACTATGGTACAGAGTCTTGAATAGTGTTCGTTTCAAAACGCTAGATATGCAAGTACAGCGCATTCATTCCATGTCGGCTTTTTGTGTATTGACCACTATTCTTATGTTGCAGTATCCCATACTTTCAAAACTGATGAGCTTATTTTATTATGATAAAACAATCTAATCGACATACTTTAACGTTAGATTTCTGTTGTTGTTGTTTTAGTTTGTTTTTTTAATAAAAACTAGTAATCAGTTAGTCAGGCGCTTCGTCTATACAAATTCATCAAAGACGAATTTTATCAATATAGACTGCCACATAGGTGGGTAACGTGTGATGGTGAGGCCATTAAATTATTTTTCTTTACTAAAAAGTTTCTAATTTTACTTTAGTATCAATTTTTTTTAAACAAGAAAAGTGGAATTCAAGACGTCATTCACTTTAGAACTGTTAATTGGATAACCCACTTAGCCTACTGTATTGTTTTGCATAAATAGAGAACGATGTGATCAATCAACTCAACTCAAATCAACTTTCTGTCACTTCTTCACAAATTCTTGTCGTCACCATGCGAATTTACAATGAAAAGTAGCAAAAAAGAAAGTATGCATATATATATATATATATCAAAGACTGACTGATTTCTTCGCCTTGCTGTAAGATTAGCACACAAACACACAAGACCGTGCACATACAACATATAATAAGAGTATTCCGTTACAATTCCAGGAAGTTGGTGAATACAATATTGTTTGTTTGTTTGTTTTTGCTTTTCATGAAAAAAATTTATTTAGGACCAAATTAAAACTAAGAAAAAACGGTATTTTCATTATTTATTATTCTAACAGTCGATATAAAAACTGATAACTTGACTATTGAGTGAGTAACAAAACATATTTCTGAAAATACTCTTTCTGTGCATAACTCTTGAAGAAACTGGATCCATCAATAGCAAATCATGCGTGGAGTAAACTGCAAAGGCTACGCATCATCAAACAGTCAACTGACTGACTCAGCTCCATCGACTTTGAAAAGGCCATTATTCATGGTATCGAACGTGAGGTAATTAGGCAACGGCTTCACAAATAACGATTGCCCAAAAAGTCAATTCAACAGCTATGTGATAACATCACATTCTACACATAATTCACAACAAAAAGTTCAGAGAAGTCTTTGAATTGAAGACTAAAGGCAAAACAAGGTTGTGTGACTACTTTAAACGATGATATTCCATGATAACCGTGGTGAACTGGATTGTGCAAAAGACTGTGGAGAATAAGAAGGCAGACATATGTTAGACCGATAAAAAGGCTCCAGATGACCTGGACTCCGGGAATGATTCATGTATAGTGCTAAACAAACTCAAAGACCTACAGGCTAAAATCAGCATGTTGGCGTAAGGGGCGAATAAAAACAGGAATTCAAGTGAACATAAAAACGATGGAAATGATGACAACAATTAACATCGACAGGAGAAACCTACAGGAAATCACCCCTTTCCCTCATTTGGATAGTGTCATTTGAGTCACAAGAGACACGGAGGAAGATATTCCAGCCAACCAGGGTTGGAAAATAAAGAAAAACCTTTGTTGATTTGA